TCAGCTTCGCATCACAGAAATAATTTACATTTTAAAATATATTAAAATAGAAAAAAGTTATTTTAAATTGTAATCATATTTCAAACTATTATTTTAAAGGGGTCCTATTATGCTTTTTCACTTTTTCAACTTTAGTTAGTCTGTAATGTTGCTGTTTGAGCATAAAAAAAGTTACATGTTACAAGTTACATCTGCAAAGTTACAAAGCTCAAAGTCCACTTCAAAGGGAGATATTTTATTTAACAGAAATCACTTTTCAAAAACTACAACGAACGACTCGTTTGGACTACAATGCATATTTTCCGGGATTTGTGATATTACAAATATCGACGAATGGGACGAGACCCAAACTTGTCATTATCTCCAAATTTAAAATATACAACTACCAGGAAAAGAGAAGAAAAGAGAGTCAATCAATACAGAGACTTGAGATGAATTAGATGTAATATATAGTTGGAGTGTGTTTATGTACCTGGTCGTTTAGCTGCCGTATGTTCTTCTCGATGTGTGGCAGTAATCCTCTGAAGGTAAACTCCTGGATAAACTGCCGCATGTGGTCGTGGTCATTCAGGGTCAGGCAGGTTCCTCGAGGAGTCGGGCTGGTGTGAGAGGTCCCGCTGGCCTGTTTTTGAGGTCTCGTCTCATCCACATTGTTTACAGACTGACTGGCATTGTTGCCAGGGTAACCAGCATCAGTGGGGTGGTCCAGCTGCAGAGGATGAGTCTCTGAGACGCCGTCTGCAAACACGAGAGGAACATCTAATTAACATTAGACAATCATTTCTCATCAATATGAGGCTTATAACCAAAATCCCTGATAATGGGGTTCAACTAAGCCAGACTAACCTCTAATGGATGGATTAAGACCATCTTCCTCTGCACCAATGTTGTTTTCAACCGCATTACTCACTGCAGATTCTTCATATAGCTCCTATAAAACACCACCAGGGATGAGGAACATTTAATTTGGCTGATCAAATTCAATTTTTCAAATTCAAAGAAATCTAACATAGTCATACAACTGAGTGATTCCATAAGGCCAATACATGTTGGAGGAAACGAATAATTTCAGTAATTATTATTCTTTCATGTCATCAGATAAGTCTCTAACTTCAATAATGTAAAAACAATTAACACAGCAATCAAAACCTATTTTAGTTTTGCAAAATAATTCATCACATTCACTGTAAAATAAATATGACCTGCAATTGTTACCTTAAAAACATTAATGCACTTATGTTGATTCAGCGATATTAAATGTTTTTTTTACTTGAGTAAAACCAGCTAACTTAGATGCTACTATTTTTACATTAACAGTTTTTCAGAGTTGTTTTGTGATAACTTTGTTAAAATAGACTGAAAAAAAAACATGGGAGGAAATTTTTGAAAAAAAGATATATATTATAGCAGCTTTACATTATAACCTTTGTGAGTTGACAAAAAGATCATTATCATAAAAGAGTACAATGAAAATAAAAGAATAAGAAATAAGAGAAGAAAAAAAAAAGAAAATACAAAAATAAAAACTATATGTTTACCTGCATTTCATGTGACCATTAAACAATGTCAGAGAGCCGTGAACATTCAAACAATTAAATTATTGAATTATTAACATATTCACAACATTTAAATATTAAAACCTCAGGGGGTACTTTAAGTAAATATTTGAGCTTAAATGGGTTCAGCTGACAAAAGTTTGAGAATGCCTGTATTACAGTAATATTTCATATTATTTGATCAATTAATTTAAATTTTACTGACCACGGTGGAAGAACACTATAAAAATCTATATTATTGTGTAATATTATTTTTATAATAATATAATATAATATAATAATTTAATAAAATAATTTTTTCCACCATGGTCCATAAATTTAATTTATTAAATATAACAAAATATTGCATTACACTTGTACCCTGGATTTGCAAGGTTTACTTTATCAAAACCTAATTCTTGGCCAGAATAAGTTGCTATGTGGACCAGACCTTATGATGGTAATCAGAAGTTTATGAGTTGTATGTTCCGAGCCTGAAGTGAGGTTGTGGCACTCACAGGGTTGTGTATGCTGGTCTTGTGTAAGTACTGACTCCAGGGGTCCGGCATCTGTTCGTCCGCTCCAGTGCTACCACTCCGGGAGTTTATCTTGAGCAGATAGCAGCCCTGAGTTCCATACCGCTGTTTCATATCCTCGTACACAGAGTCCGCCCTGAGAAACACAGAGATGGACATTAATAGTTCTATACCATCATAAATATATATGACAGCCTAATCTTTCTCCCCACAGTCAGGTTATCTTCTATTCATCAGACTTTGAGGCTGCAGGCAGCACACGATTACCGTGATTGGCAACGTATCTACATGCAGAATTCTCTGAGGAGGAAGTGGAAAGAAAAGCAAGCATTCCTATCAGACAGCTGATGTCAGAAATTAATATTCATAGAAAACGCGTTGCAAATGCAGTTCATGTTTCTTTTAAGATTAATTTTTATTCTACTCATAATATGTTCTCTAATTAAATGTCTGCAATTACAAAGTGGAAGCAGAAATGTTTTCTCCTGACATCACTTTAGTTTTAATCCCTGAGGCAGGGTTGGATACCTGTTTCCAGTGTTAATCAACTCTGGTTATTTAATTGCAGAATCAGAACAAGCAGTCGGAAAATCAAAAGCTTTGAACTGCATATTGAATAAAGAGCATTTATGATTCATTAGGTGCTGGCCATTTATTCAATAAAAATACAAACATCAGCTAGAATCTTAAAGATGTTTTTTTAGTAATAGTAACAATGGATCAAGAGTGAACACATAGTCTTGCACACGTAGATCTATGCAAATGCACACAGTAACACTAACAAAAGTGCTTATAGAACAAGAAGTTATTACAAATATTTTGTCATTTTTTTTATTCACCCTGATGTCGCTTCTGGCCAAAATAGGAGTCTATAATACATAATAATGCTTCCTCCAGTGGAAAAGTCCATCCTTTGTAGTCCTCTCACATCAAAATCCACTGACATATTTGTTTAGAAATGTTTTTGCTAGTATACCATGCTTGATCTGAGCATATTTCTATTCACCCCTTTCACCCATTCACTGCACAGGACGATGAAGTGATTTAATAATAAATTTCCATCATTTTCTTCTTAAGAGATAAAAAAAAAAACATAAGAACTTCTTAATAATTTTTCAAGCATGGCATTGAAGTGGTCAAATATCCCTGACTGAACACAGAAGCTTCTGCAAGAGTCAATCAATGATTATTCATCAGACTGTTTGGCTGTGTAAAAGTTTGAAAAAAAAAAACTAAAAGCAAGCAACAAAAACAAGCAACACAGGTACAGGAGAACACTAAGTCAGATGCGCGCACACACCTCTGCTCGTCTCCTTCACTGATATCGTGGAGCAGGACATAATATTTGAGTGTGTTGGGGATGAACCATTTGGGATGAGTGTATTCCCCACTGTGCTGGATTCGGTGCTGTTCCTGTGACAGCTTGAGAAACTGCTCTGTCGGCACCGCCTCACGGGACGACACCACCAACATACCTGCAGCCGAGTTCAGGAGATCTCACAGAATACAGATGAACAAAACTGCTGAACTGTGCTGTACAAAAAAATATGGCTGGACTGGGTGAAAAAGTTTGGATTTTTTCTTATTGTTATTAATAATAAGATATAAATAATGTTTTGCTGTTTAATATTTTTTTGTGGAAAGTGTGATACACTACCATTCAAAAGTGTGGGGTAAGTAATCATATTAGAATGATGTGAAACATAATAGTACTTCACAATATTATTTTTATTGTAGTTTTGATCAAATACATGCAGCCTTGGTAATCAACAGACTTGCATCAATAGACAGTGCTAATTATTATATTTATTTATTCACTATTTTATTAAATCCTTTACTATAGAAACTCAGATACTTCTTGACAGTTTATAGCAGTCTTAGCTGAACGCGTCATATGGTCAAAATTTCGGTGCGTCCCTTGTGGTAAAAAAAGAGGAGAAATGCAAGCATGAAAAAGAAGTGAGGTAGTTATTAGGAAAGAAGAGCGAAGAACTTGGAAGGATACAGGCCAGGTAGTGGTTGAGGAACTCGTGCTCTGATGCTGGCATGGACTGCAGGAAGTTCTCCCGGTAAGTCTCAAACCATGGTGTTGTTGCTGTAAGTTAAACACAAAGAAATATTGTCTTGTTCAGAAACAAGATTATCACAGGCCGCATGACCAGCCCTCCAGTCAGAAGAGGAGAGAAGCACATTATGAAAGCCAAGATGAATAGAAAAACCCTCAAGAAATGTGATATTCGCTGGAAGAAATTATAACAGATGACATTTTTACAGCAAGTCTCTTTTACAGCTGACCTAAAATTAAATAATGTTTTTAAAAAAATAATGAAAATCCAACAATCTAATAGTTTCCCAATAATTAATTTAAATGTAAATACAGTTCTTCAAAAAAGCTGCACTTAAAACGCTCACCCTTATCCTGCAATACGCATAAACGTAAGGTCACGATTGAAATATTGTGGGCAAAAAAGCCTATTGTCTGTTGTAAACAGTGTAGTGATGTATGAAGCACCGCACACACTGAAGTCAAACCAAGCAGCTTCCTGTTGGTCTACGAAGCAACTTCAACCAGTTGCAAAATCTGTGTGGGGAAATCTTTTGTCCTTGCAAGAAATGTGTGGATTCTTAAATTCTTAAATTACTAATTTTCCCCATAAAAATTTGCCAAACAATAGAACGTAATCACACATTAAATCACTTTGAACTTTTAATTCAGATTCAACCTTTTTTTTTTTTCTTAAGAGAGAAAGGATGTTCAAAACAGGTTGCCACATTAGCATTCATGATCAATTTCCCCCCTTTAAAGGGGTCCTATTATGCTCTTTTACAAAGTCTTGATTTTGTTTTGGGGGTGTACTAGAACAGGCTCTCATACTAGGTTGTTCGAAAAACACATTATTTTTCACATATTTTACATTATTACAACACCTCTCTCCTCAGTCTGGCATGAACGGCTCGAATAGTTCCTCTATCAAATGAAGGCCCGCCTTCTGAAATACGAAATGTGCTGTGATTGGTTAGCTGGGCCAGTGTGTGCTGTGATTGGCAGCACTCGGCGCCTGGTCGGGAAATGTCATGCCCCTTACCATAGCCGCCTGCGAGCTTCAGTGTAAATATTGCATCAATATCTAATCAATTTGAGTGCGATTTAAACCCGGATGATTGTAACCTGCACGTTTCTTCAAAGCATAATAAAATAACACGACTATCTTTGAAAAAAGTGCATAATGTTTAATATAATGTTTATAAACCTTATATAATTAATAAAGTTGCTTAAACAATTAGAAACAAAACAGCATCATGCATGTATTTATAGTTTAATACAAAGGACTGAAAACCAATCACAAAGAGTACTTACTTCATTTAAAAACTTAAGATGCAGTGGGATGGGAAAAACCGCCATAAAGTCTTGAGACATGTTTTTTTAAAAGTTGAACTTACATTAATTTTACATAGCTTTCTAAACATGCGGCTCTCTTGTGCAAGATGCGAGTGCCGCGGTGATAGATGTCCCTCTAGAAAATGCGATAAATATGTGTTCTGTGTGAACGGCTTGGTTTCGGTTTTGACGTAAACAACA